CTATTTCAAAACAGCAGAGATTGAATTTTGTTCACAGGCAACAGGGAGACTTTTGTGACAATCTGGTGTGAAGGGTAAGTAAATTTGAATATTGTGAGTGTACTGAAGGAAGTTCAGTTAGAGTGATGTGTGATAAAAAGACTGCAGTAGCACATTCAGATAACTGAGAATTGTATCCAAAATAGGACTTGAGACTTCTTTGTTGTAATTTTGGTATAAAAGATAAGCAAGCTAGCAAAAATTTATTCTTTAAAATGCTTTATTTTGGAGAGGAGAATTTTTTGGGCTATGTTTTCTTTACTTCCTGTTCTACTACTATATATATTTTTAAAGACTTTTATTCCTTGACCCCTCCCTGTTTATCTGCCTGCAGAGTGCTTATAATATTAAACTCTTCCAGGGGAATTTCTAAGCATGAACTTAAGATACTCATTTACCTTGTTAAAGGACCTCATTTCATACAGCAAATGGAATTACTTAAAATATTTAGACATAGTTAAAATTTTGAATTGACAGAGTGTGCTGGTTCATGCAAAATTTATGACAAAGACTATAGGAGTTAGTTTGTGCTCTGACTGATTTGTGAGTAGGTGATCTGAAAATTACCTGGCTACTTGTGGTTTGTGGGTTGGTTAGTTAGTTTGTTAATGTGTTTCTCTAAGGTTATCGAAGTAGCCCTGTGGTTTTTAAAGAGGAAACAGTGAACTGAGAAACGCCCTCCCCTTACTGGGGGTTTGGAGGTTTGGAAGTTGCATATCTGTGTTTTAGGGTCAGGCTAAGGTAGGGATGAGATACCCAGTGCCTTTATGGCTGCTGTTGTGCCCTAGAGTTCCTGCATACCTTCCCTTACACAATACAGAGCAGAAAAAATTAAATTTTGAGCAAGGTGTGCAACAAGCTGGTAACTGGGAGAGCAGTGGCTGAGCAGAGCCTTTGCTGCAAGGAGCTCTGCAGTGAGAGTGGGAGAGGCAGTCTTATTTTTTTCATTTATTCATGTGTTTTTTGTCCACCACTCTTAATGGTGAAAAGAAATTTCATTGACCCATATTTTGTTTATTATCTGTTAAGATCAAGCTGGTAATTACTCTTTTGTGCAATCTGTGTGTAGCTCTCTTCTGTGTCAAGGTGAGTCTGTGCTGTTGGCAAACTGTTGGATTATACTTCTTTCATCCCTACAGTACAGCTGTAATAAAGTAGTACTTGCAGGTTTTTCTGTGTTTTGTGGTCACGCCTCCTTAGATTGAATTTCAGAACATCCTCTTCTAGTCTCAGCTCTCCAGCAATTCCCTTTGTCAGTGGATTCTGTGCAAAACCATCTGCAGTACAAAGCAACAAGTGCAAAAGCAATGAAAAACTATAATTTAATTCCTAGGAACTTATTTTAATCTTTTTCTTTCAGATAAGCATTTTTGCTGTGAAGAATCACAAAGATAGATTTTAAATAAAAAATATGGACCTTATTAAAGGAAAAAAAAAAGCTATCCTAGAAGTTAAACTAGGACGTGTATATTCTAATAAACTCTTCCAAAATGAAGATCAGTACTATTTAAATATTTAACTTATCCCTTTTTATAGTTGAATTTTACATGTTTTCCGTTTATTGTGTATTGGCTTCCCAAAGATAAATAATTAAATCTATGTTTTGCCACTTGGAATATGAATAAAAACAAGATGAAGAAGAATACTGATATAGAAGTAGGTTTAGCTGTAAAACCATATATTTGCTATTGTGTGAGCCCTTTCTCAAAGGACATTTGTGTTTGTTTTCCTTTTTTTCAAATATGAGGAGTTGAATGAAACATTTGATGTTCTTAGCTTTATTATTGTCTCTGGGAGCAGAAAAGTAGAAATACTATAAAAATTGCATTGTTGTCTTATGGCATCCAAAATATTGTGGATTTCCTGTGACAAATTGTGCTAACAGAAGCATGATGTGGACTGGTAAAACAATTTTTTCTCATTTCAAAACTTCTTAAATGTATGTTGTGAAACAAACTGGTGAGAAGCATTTGTGTAATCATGTGGATGTTACCTGGGTAGTGAAACCTGATCTTTTTTGGTAATTGCAGATTTTCATAGTTCCCTTAAGAAGTGTAATGAATTCAGCTTTCTGAACACAAATCCACTTTGATCATACTGTTCCCTAAATTAGTATTTATTGAAGATGATAGCACTCTCTCCTTCCTGTGTGAAGCTATATTGTATGTGAATATATATGTATATGTTGAAAATATGTTGATGTACAATCTGTTGCACAGATGTCTTATTTCAGTAGGAAAGTTGTTTAATTCACAGATCAGTATACAACATAAGGAGTAGTAAAGAGCTAGGCAATTCTCATGAAATATGATATGAACATAAGCTGCTCCTGTTTACCTAAAATTGAAGGCAAACCAGAACCGTACCTTTTAAGATTTAGGTTTGACTGTAAGCCACAGCAGGAAGGCTGAGGCTGAGTGGTGCAGAAAAATCAACAGCATAAATATTGATTACAGAAGAAAGTGTTTCAGAATGAGATTTGACCAAACCTGTTTGAGGGAAAAATAAAATAAACATCTCATGGCAGCTTACTCTAGTCCCCATTTTTGTATGTGGTTGTAGGCTATTTAAAGGAATTAATGATGGTGAAGGTGATAAGGTTACAAGGCAAGGAGGTTGCAGCACTTAAGAAGGCAGAGAGAAGGAGGAAGGTTATAGAGAAGGAAGGAAGGCAAAAAAGGGACAAGAAGGGAGAAGGATGATGATCTGTAAAACTGGCAGGTAGCAGAAGTGCACACACCTCAAGCAGCAGCAGTTGGAAATGGGGCAGTAGGAAGCACATGGTGGGTACCTGCGTACAAGGAAACACAGGGCTGGGAGTAGCAAAAAAGCCAGAAATCCTGAGAACATAGAGTTCAAAACTGCCAAAGGGTGCAGTGAGGGCTGGCAGCTCCCTGGGGACTGCAGGGACGCCCCATGGGACTGACAGTCAGGAGCAGGCAGCCGGGGGCACGAGGGCAGCTCCAGCCCTGAGCATCAAGCATCTCCCTGGGGACAGCCTGAGGCTGGGACAGGACATGGATCCGTGAGCATGTGGGGGTCAGGGTCAGACACAGCCTTGTGATGGCAGGGCATGGCCACAGTGATGTGCATCACTGCAAACAGTTGTTGGGAGAGTAGAATGGGGAAGGCAAGATGTGCTGTTCGTGGCTGTGTTTTGCTGAATGCATGAAGTCATTAATTAAAAGTTATAAACATCCATAGATTGTGTTACACTGTTGTATTTGTTGATGTATGCTGTTGTCTTCTCATATTGTTTAAAAGTGGTAAGAATATGTAAATAATTAGGAACGTGAGATAAAAATCCAGTGGCAAGATATGTAGCTTCTGAAACTCTACTGATCTTGCTTACCTTATTCATAATCAAAATAATAATAAAAACTGCCATGCATAACTGCTCAGCAGTGTGAAAGAGAAAATAGTTTTCCGCCTCATATTTTATTTTTCATTTGGTAAATAATAATACTTCACAATTATGATAAAATGGCCTGCATGTCATCTGGAAATAAGGAGATGGTTTGAGCTTTCCTCTTAAATGTTATTCTTACTCTCTAATCATTGCATTAATATATCTCCCAAAATGCTCTTGCTCTAGCAAATTTCCCTAGCTGTGATGCTTAAAACTGGTCATGAATTTACATGCAATGTGAAATTGAAGATATTCCTTTGGGCATAATTTTTCTCAGAAATATTTTAACATCATTAATAATGTATAAGTGTAACAGGCTTAAGCAAGCCATAGACTAGGTCACTTCTGATCTGCACGATAATTATTCCTACATGGCAATTAGTATTACAGTAAGTATGTAAAAATGGTGGGGGTGGGGAGAATGTATATGTACTGTATTTTTGGAGGCCAGATAACCTTTTGATTGATGACACGACCCATTTCAGTTCAAGTTACTTACTCTGGCATGGTATTAAAAACCGGGTCTGTGACTAAAGCTCACATCACTGCTGTAAGAGAAGAGGGGGTAATGAATATTAGAGGAAAATCGTAAGAAAAAGTATCTTACTTTAAAGTAGGCCATTTAAAGTAGTTGTAGTCATTCACCATTGCAATTGTGACCGCCTCTCTGTGGGTCACTTTGGGCAACTTCTGCTGTGTATGAACAGACTCCCAAAGTGAGACATGCATTTGAAGACAACAAAGTGAGTGTTGGTCAGTCCACAAATGTAAAAGACAGAGAGGGTTTAATGAACTCCTTGGCTAGATACCTGTATGTGTCTGGTCTGCAAAAGGAATCTGAAGAGTCCTTGCTGGCCAGGCAGTTGTGAATGAGGTGGAAGAGGGCCACCCTTCTTTGCCCCTTTAAACAAGTCTGCCTTGTTTCGAGGTTGCTGTCTGCCACCTTCTCTGGGCTTTGATGCCTTTCCACATTGATGTTTTTCCTCTTGAATCCTTAAGCTGGTAACAAATCCTGTAACCAGTCCTTCTTTTTTTGTGGTTTACCTTTCTGAGCATACATGCCTGTCCTCTGAACTTTCTCTGAGGTCTTCCCTATATCTTGGCAACGTCCATAGAAGTCAGCCTGAACCGAGGTCAGGTTGCCGTGGCATGTCTGAGACACAGCAAGATTGATACCCTAGAGAGAGGTCACTGAGCAAGAATATGAAACACTGAGGTCACATACTGTGAGACATCAAATGAGGAATTTAAATTACATTAATTATTCCTTAAATTTTAAGTGATGTAGGAATTTTTAATATTGTGGGGGTTTTAAAGTAAATAATTAAATTAAAATACATTTACAAAAATAATCTACAAAATTTTATTTTAGTGCTGAACATTCACTTTTTGGCAGTGCTTCTGTTGCCACTATTTCAGTTGTTAATAATGCAGTTTGAAGAAGCAGGAAGCACCACTCCTGGCCTTGAACGCTCAGTTCAAATCTCCCCACAGTTTTTTTTTTAAGATTATCCAGATGCAGATCCTGCAACTGTCCTTTCTTCTGTTCTAGGTAATGGGCCCCACCATGATAGAAGTTCTGTTTTCAACCAGAGCAACATAGTAGATGGAGTTTACTGCCTCCCAATAGCACACTGGATTGAAGTCTCTGGACATACTGATGAGATGAAACACACAACCGATTTCTATTTTAATATTGCAGGACATCAAGCTATCCATTACTCCAGGTAAAAATGTGCAGCGCTTGGCTGGTGTCAGATGTTTCAAACAGAAAACCTTAACTGGCATATCTGAAAACTGCATTTGAGTAGTGAATGTTTGTATGTATGTAACAGTAAACTTTAACAAAGATTCAGAACCTCTTTGCAATTAAGTATCAGCTTAGCAGATCCTAAATTCAAGGATACCTGTACCCTGTACAGGTCTGTTACGTTGCATCACATCTGAAAAAGTTTTGTGGCAATTTTTGGATAGTCATTTTCAAATGCTTGTCTATACACACGTGTAAAATTGCATGTATGTTATATGTTTCGTTTGGGATAATTGTACTGAAGAATATGTCCTGGGAAACAAAAATAATATAATCCAGCACCAGAACTTACTGGTGATATGTTGTCACTCGTATGGTAGCCACTGCAATTAGTGACAACTGCTTTTGATGACTTCCAGTTCTGGGCATGTATTTAACAAAGTACTAAAACTTAGACAAGCCTTAAAATGTTTATATTCCGTAGTGTTCGCTTGAGTCCACTGTCCTACCGGTGAAGCATCCTGGCTTGTATTAGGAGACAGTAAAGGTCAAGGAGGGCATCCACCCTTTAGGGCTGCAGGTAAAGGACAAGCTGTATTTAGAACAAAAGGCTGAGCACTGGTGGTTAACAAAGTGGCACTGAGGAATTTGGGACCCTGTGTAGCTTTTTTCCCCATCTCCAGTCAATGATACAGCAGGATGTTTGTGAGTTGATAATAGTTGTGTGAATGCTGGCAGTCCTGATCTGCCACAAGCATTACAGAGCAGTTAGTTATCCCAAAGGGATATGCATTTTTTAAGGAAATCAAACCACCGTATACTTCCATTAGGCTTAGCATTGTTTTGTGTGAAGTTTTCCAGACCACTTTATCAGCTACACCAAACTCACCATCTTGTCTCCTCTTTGTTCTCTTTATCTCCACCCTCTCACAGGGTGGGAAGAGGAATTGTCTTTTCCTCATTAGACTTGCAGTGTGTGAGGGAAAGATTTCTTCCCCTTGGTATCTTTTGGAATAGCATGGATTCATAAACACTGTCAGGCACATGTAGGTATTTGTGGGACCTTTTCCCTGAGACCTCCTCAAGTTACATTGTACACCTGATAGATTACACTGTTATGTGGATCTTAAACATCTGTTTCCAGCATCCTATCAGAGTAAAGATCTTGTTTATTCCAAAGTACAGATTTGTCAATCCCAAATAATCTTTGTTTGGCAGAGAAATTTCTTGAGAGAGAAGAACAGCTGTCAGAAAGTGAATATCTAAGTACCAAAGGCTAAGTTATCTTCCTTTCCAGAGGCAGCAGTGATCCATTTAATGCTGCCTTATCTGCATGACTACGTGTTTCAAAGATTAGGTAAAAAGCTGCAGATACTGCTAGAGAATATTTGAAGAAAATTTTCTGAGCTATGTAGTCTTTTGCAGATGAGGATCTTCTCCTTCATTCCTTTCTCACACACACGTACCTTCCTTGAAAGGCAACCTTATATCTACATCTTAGTAATTCTTATCTCATTTCTTTGAGCTATATTAAGTAAGCATACTCTGTAACATACTCGTGTCACATAATTACTTCTAATACTTTGAAGATATTCCGCCTAAATGTTTTTTTAATTATTAACAGTTGGGGGTGGATTCACCATTCTGCTGGTTATAATAAAGCAGCCCAAAAAATACTAGCTATTTTAGATTTTGTTGTTGTTGTTGGCAAAGCAGCTGAAGTGAGCTGATAGAAATGCCTTTATTTTGCAATGGATTTATTGATTCAGAGGTGTACTATGATTAATCTAATAAATACATTTTAAAAAATACCTATATGCCCCCTATCCTCCCCAAAGCAAAAAAGCAACAAAGCAAACAGAAGCAAAAAGACAGTCCCTCTGCTTTTACAGTTAAATCTCAGAGTATGAGCAGATCATGGTTTTCCTGCTAAGATTACTTTTTTCCATGCTGTAGTGAAGGCAGCAGTGGGAGCATTATGACCACAAATTCTGAGTCCTGTCACCATTTGTAAGATCTTTACAGGGTGGTGGAGGCTGGAAAGAAGTGATTCATCAATGAAAACTTTTGATGTGAGCCCATCCTCTATGTTAGTCCACTTAATAGAGCTGCCATGTGTGACTTAATTAGAAAGGAAGGTTTTCCTCTGTCAAAGGGGCTTCTCATATGAGCCTTAGCAATGATTTTATTTATCCTCTGTTGAATCACAATTACAAACAGTTGCTCTGAGCTTTGCTGCCATCTTGCTTCTTCATAAAACACGAGCTTCTGCTTTAAATGGGCTGCAGCAGGATGAGAAGAGCCTGCTTCTGGCTGAGGCTAACAACAACGCTCTGAGGAATCAGATTTTTCTTATTTAATATAGATATATTACTCATAATTTAGTAAACTTACATTTATACTTCTATTTAGAGAACTCATTTTGTGTTGGTCATTCAGGTAGGAGAGTATATCATGTGGTTTTTAAGCACAGCAGGATTTGAACTAATTTATTCTAAATGTGAAATTGAGCTTTCCCACAGCTACGAGTCATGACTGACACCTCCATGGCATTAGTATTCACTTGGTTTGGAGATGTAATGATACCTTTAACCAAAATCTGATTCAGGGGGAAAAAAACCAAAAAGAACAACAAAAACAAAACAAACCAATCAGTTTCTCTTTTGTGTTAGATATTACTGCAATAAGATGGCTTCAAATTGCAGGAGAATTCACTAAGAATGCAGTAATTTTCCAAAGTAAATTAAAGTTATTGTAGTCTTTTCTGGGAGAAGATGACTTCAGAAAATTTGTTAATCTGGGCCATATTATCCCTGTTTCAGTTCCATTTGTGAAAGGTGGAAGTTCCTATTTTGTACATATATACCTTAAGTATAACTTATATTATAAGGTATATATATATATAAACCTTATTATAAGTAAGTATACCTTATTATTTATATAAAAACATCTGCATTTCTCAGAAAGAAAGGCATTACATAAGAGCAAAAGCGGGAGTGACACCTGAAATTACAAAATCCTTAAATAGTATGTTGAAGACAATGATGCTTGTTGGCAGAATTAGGTGCTATGGAAATGAATATCTCTGATAGGAAAAGCCATCTAGTTAGTTTCCTATTTTCAGACTAATTTTAGGTGTGTGCTTTTTGTGAGTCATATTTCTTAAATCTGACAAAAGAAAATAATTTTTACATGTTTTGTATGTAAAATGCAGATAAACTGGAATGCATAAGTGAATTCCTGAGACAATAATCATAGCTAATCTAGAACTGTGGTATTGTATGGCTGTTAAACATTTTGGAGGAAAATGCAGAACTAGCAATCCACAATCAGGGAAGTCACTACATGAAAGTAGCCTTGGGTCCTGACAACAATTTGTTGACATACAGATTTCTTTAGTACCTTTTCTGGCGAAAAAAAATATTTTATATATATATATAGGTCATTAAATACTAATATTTCATGTTTATGGAGCGATTGGGAAGTTGACAGAGGTGTTGCTATCATCAGTGTTTTTTTCTCTAAGACGAAATTAGGGTAATGATAAAAGAAAATTGACTCCAATACTTGGAAATGTTATTTTTGTTTCTCAGTGGTTGCAAATAAAACACAACGTACAATGTAGTATTTACAAATGTTTTATGGCTTGTGGGTAAAACAGTTTCCCACAACAGTGCCAGTAATATAGTTTATAGCCTAAGTTAGGTGTTGAATGGAAATGATCAGGAGAGTCACATAGATGTGTATTCCTGTTAATGTAGATAGGTGAGTGAATGAAGAATGATCCAGGCCAAAATAGAGATGCTTCTTTTTTACCTTTTGGAGGCACTAGAGCAGTATTTTGCTGATTTAGCACAGAATTTCTTTCTATGGGAAAGATGAGCATTTACTTGATTGATATGCATCTTTAATTAGGTGGAAAACAAGAAGTTGGTTGAGTGTATTTGGTTCAATATGAAATTAGAATTACCTTGAAAAAAATACAAGAGAGAGCACTTTTTTTTAGTCTTTAATTTCTATTTTTACTGGTTGTAATTAATTCACAAAATAAAATACCTTTTTGTTTTAAATGTAATTCTTAGTTATTTTTTATTACTGAATTATAAAAAAGGCTTTAAAGAATAAGCTGTCACAAAAACTCCCTAGAGGGCAGTGACCTGGGCTACTGCAATAGAAAGCTGCACTGATATTTTATGCCTACATTATGAACTAAGAAAAGAGGTGATCTACAAAGATTACCATAATTAACATTAAAATCTGAGAGTTAACTGTCCCCTGTGCCTAGAGAATGCTCGTGATATTAGAGAAAAGAATAAGAAATAATGAGCTCTGGAACAAAATTCATTGGTTGTATTCTAGTAAAATAGTCCTGATCAAAAGGACTTAACATCAATAAGAGTTCATCCTTTGATTTCAGAACTTGGGGCTCTAACTGTAAAGTTGTTTGGTAATTTTATTCATTAAGTAATGAAAATATTCTAAGCACATTTTTTGATATGTTTATCCCATAAACTACGATATCTGACTACTCCTTTGAATATTGTTTTATTGTACTGAGCTGCAGCCTGAAACTAATAAAAACTGGAACCATTGTTTACTTACCAGTGGGAATCACCTTTTATAGAATGGTTTAAAGGTTAATTCTGTTTTTTGTCCTTTGTGTGTCTTCATTTTTTTTTCTACATCACTCCCAACAATTCTGTGTCATTCTGGGAGAAAAAGAACAGAAGGAAGATTGGGAACCCTCCATGGAAAGACCTGGAGGAGTAAATGTAGTTCTGTTTTTCTCTGTGGGATATAACAGAAAAATGTTGATAGTCCAGTAAGTATGAATTTTATGTGGGGTATCACTGTTAGGGAGTAGAAACTATTGTTCCTTCTAATTTCCCTCTGTGTTTTACTGTGTCTCCCTGCCGCTTGTCCATATTTCTTCTGAGGGTTTTCAGCCCTTTTTCCTGCCTCTTTACTCTTTAACAT